AGGGAAAATGATGTGCTGTGGCTGGGGAACATGGTGATTTCTGGGAGCTCTCTAGGCCCCACAGGGAGACTGGCAGCTCCAGTGACCGTTTAAGGGAAGATTGGGATATGTATTTTACCTCAGGACATGTTCAGTGACTCCCAACAGCAACAGCAAACTGTTTAGAATGTTAGAGGCAAAGGCCAATCAGGCCGCATATGCAAATGACCTCTGTGTTTCAACTGCCTATGGGGGAAGAGGAACAGCAAACTGTTTAGAATGTTGGAGGTGGGACTCAGGCAATGCAGCCAGTGGATAGGGACAGCTTCTGAGTGATACATCAGGGAGCCTATTGATTTGGGAGCAGGGCTATTTTTGGGCAGGAACGCTCAGGAACGGAGTTCTGGCTGGCTTCAGAGTTGGCCACACCCACTACATCCAAAACCTCTGTGTGCGTGGCTACAGAGGGAAGGCCTAGAAAGCGACCCCCCGTCGACCCCAAAGGCGGGCGGGCCAGGGGGGCTCTGGAAGGATTGGGTAGATATTTAAATGCCTCTCCGTGCCTTCCCCGGCCTGTCCAAAGGCCGACTTGCCCAGGGAAGGCATGGGAGTGTTGCCTAATATGCAAATGAGCGGTGGTCTCAGGGTGTGGCTTAATATGCTAATGAGGTTTTTTGCTGTTGGGTGTGGCCTATTATGCTAATGAGTTCCTGCTGGGCTTTTTCTACAAGAAAAGCCCTGTTTGGGAGCGTGTGGAATGTTCAGCAACGTGCCACCACCAACAGAGAATTATTATATAGATAGATAAGATGCTATATGCTGTCTTTAATCCTTAAAAGTCTGTAGTGTATATTTTTTGAAATGCCAAGCATAATGTGGGTATGTTTTGCATGGAAGTTGTTGTATAGGAGGAACACTTAGTAATGCAGAAGAATGGCTATATTGAGCATCTCTTCCTTATTATAATTGAATAGCAACGTTCTATATTGAACGTTCTAAATTTGGCCCCTTTAGTGTTTGGCCGGAAGAACTGTCAGTCAGAAGACGCTAGCTGGGTTGACTGGCTGCTTTGTGCAGCCCCGCCCAGCATTTCAAGGTCTTTTGCATATGGAAGCTGATTGGACTTCACTCCATTCCACACCTCAAACACGCCCCCCCCGGCAAGGCAGTTGGAATTTTCAGTTGCATAGACAGATACAATGCCATACTCCCCACCCTACTGTATTCTGAGGTAAAATATGTCCTCACTCAGAACACATCACTTCCCCTTCAAAAGAAACAAACCCAATAACACAATCATGCCACACCACAAAGACAACAGATCACACCACAAGCAGAATACCACAAGGCAAAAAATGATAGGAAAAGGTGCCAGCAGTCACCCCATTACTGCCACAGAGAGCGCTTCAGAGGATGGTGTGCAGGTCCCAGGTTCATGTTTTAAAAGCAGCCTGGGGAATTATGGACCATTCACACACTTTCAACCTTAACATACCTCATAGAGTAGTTGTGTGGATCATATGAGGGAGAGGAGAATGATGTCAGCTGCTTTGGTTCCCACTGCAGGGAAAGACTGCCCTTTGTGAGGCGGGGGCGGGGGGATGTAAAACTGAAGGCAGACAGGCAGATAACGGTAGGCTGATGGTTGCCTGGAAAGGACATAGGGTTGCCAACTCCAGGTTGGAAACTTCCAGGATATTTTGGGGAGGAAGCTGATTGGACTTCACTCCATTCCACACCTCAAGCTCCCCCCCCGCAAGGCAGTTGGAATTTTCAGTTTGGAGAGGAGAATGATGTCAGCTGCTCCCTAGGCAGAGGCTGTGTGTGTGTGTGTGTGGGGGGGTTGTAAAGACAGACAGGCAGATAAACGTTGGCTGATGGTTGCCAACTCCCGGTTCGAACTCCAGGACATAGGGTTGCCAACTCCAGGTTGGAAACTTCCAGGATATTTTAGGGATGAAGCCTGCTGAGGGTGGGGTCTGAGGAGGAGGAGGAAGAGGGGGACCTCAGACAGATACAATGCCATGCTGCCCACACTCCAGACAAGCTGTTGCCAGTCTCCAGGTGACAGCTGGAGAGATCTTAAAGCTTTGGTGCTACTTCAAAGTGTTGCAATTTATCAACAGAGTAGTGTTTTGGAAAATCTTTAGGAATTGTTTGGTGCATTTACGATGGGGCTCCTGGGGAACTATTGTTGCCAATCTTGGCCCAGCAGCCATCAAACCATTCTCTTCAACCCTCTGCTGTGCAGCTGACTTTCCCCTAGGGTTGCCAATCTCCAGGTGGGACCTGGAGATCTCCCACTGCTACAATTGATTTCCAGATGACAGAGATCAGTTTCCCCTGGAGAAAATGGCTGCTTTGGAGGGTAGACCCTATGACATTATACCTGCTGAGTCCTTCCGCCCCCCTGCCCAATGCTGCCCTCTACAGAATCCACCCCCCAAATCTCCAGGTATTTCCCTCCTTAGAGCTGGCAACCCTACTTTCCCCTCAGTGCCTGTTGGTAGGCAGCTAAGCTTGGTCCTGTCACCTACTTTGGCCTTTGGGAGAAAACACTGGGACCAGTGCTGATATAGGGTTGCCAACTCCAGATGGGAAATTCCTGGAGATTTGAGGGATGGAGCCTGAAGAGGGTGAGGTTTGAGGAGGGGTGGGACCTCAGACAGGTACACTGCCATAGACTCCACCCTCCAAACCAGTCAGTCCCACATAGGGAACCATTGTTGCCAATCTCCAGGTGAGGGCTGGAGAGCACTCAGAATTACAACTGCTCTGCAGAAGGGAGGGCAGAAGTCAGCTGAAGTCAAAGGGGCAGATAATGGTAGGTTGATGGTTAGCTGGGAAGGAGATGGGGTTGCCAACTCCACCCTCCAAACCAGCCATTTTGTCCTGGGTAACAATTGCTGCCAATCTCCAGGTGAGGGCTACAGATCACTCACAATTACAACTGCTCTTCAGGTAGCAGAGATCAGTTCCTCTGGAGAAAACAGTGGACTCTGTCATTATACCCTGCTGAGGTCACCACAGCAAATTGACACTGTTTGCCCAAAGCCAGAGCACTCCCCCAGAGCCTCTTTCTAGATCTCGTTGTATTGTTTTCACAACAGGCTTTACTGCTAGTCTATTAATAAACCAATAGAGGAGTCCAAAGCAGAATTAGATCTTTCTGTTGAGTGCTTATGGGTGGCCTGCAGATTGTCCAGAGCACATGAGCTGATGTGATGAATGCACACTCAGCACATAAAAAACATCTGGAAACTAAAACATAAGAAGAGCCCTGCTGGATCAGACCAGTGGTCCATCTAATCCAGCATTCCGCCTCACACAGTAGCCAACCAGTTCCTCTGGACGGTCAACAACAGGGCTGAGGCCTTCCCCTGATGTTGCCCCCTGGCTCTGGGATTTAGAGGCTTAGTGTCTCTCAATGTGGGGGTTCCCCTCAGTCACCATGGCTAGTAGCCATTGATAGACTTGTCCTCCATGGCTCTATCTAATCCTCTTTTTGAATATATATTCTAGATTAACTCAACAATCATTGTTTTACAGATGAACTGTAAAGATTGTTCCCCTCCAGGGGACAGCCTTCCTGGATTTGTGTTCATAACACCTTTACTTATGCTTAAATACCATCCGTGCCAGTTGGATATATGGAAGTCAACTAAGATTTGGTGGATGCAGTTGAATATCATTTTTGAGTCCACTGATTTTCCTACTGGGGTAAGTGCTCTGAAACCTTGTTAGCAGTTAACAGACTGTAACTGACAGTGCAAAGGCTTTGTGGTGGATAGGCAACTTTTACTTGTTTTCTTTTGATTAGAGCTGAGCTGAAGGGGGTGATGGTAATGAATGGTTTCAGAAAAAAAGCTTTACATCCTGCAAATGGTATCCACCTGCCTCATCCTCCCCCCCTCCAAAGTGATGTTCTATAGCATTGTTTCTCTGCCTTCCAAAAGATAAAACAAGCAGCTTCTTTTGAGCTCCAGTCATATTTTCCTGGCAGTAAGAGTGGCAGCAGCCCTATCTCCTGAGTGGTGGGCTGGTGGCAGCATCCTAACTTCCTCTTTGCATACCAGTTGATGGTTGTATTTGTAGTCTTTCAAACTGTTGGTCTCTTCTGTTTCCCCCCCAATTGATGCTGACACATAGCCAGTTGGATTTGCCATTCCTGAGAGTAAACAAAGCTATTGTAATGGAAGATAATTCGAAGGAAGGCTTCCTTTATTGGTTTGCATTAGATTCATTTGATCTTAGTGATGCTGGCATATAGCCAGATCCTATTGTCTATGTGCCAGTGACATTTTTCAGGAACAAAAGAGATTAATAATGTTTTTGTTTTAAATAGTGTCCTACAGTAGCTGATTGGTGCCGGATACAATTATGAAAAAGAAGTGAAAGGTGTAAGCTTAGGAAAAGATTTGGGAACATTTTGTGCTACTTCCACTGCCGCATTTCCACAGAAAATGTTCACAAGCAGACTTTTGGCTAGCCCTTATTGTGATGTGTCCAGAAAGAATGTTTTGCTGATTTCTGCTAATTCTGTTTATATCAGGAAATGGGTCAATAAAGACCAATGAATTTGCTTTCTACTGTATGATAGCTGTTTCTGCAGTTAAATACAAATGTTCAAGCTGGGTAGTATTAGCAACAAGAAGAAGAGTTGGGTTTTATATCCATTTTTCTCTACCTTAAGGAGTCTCAAAGCGGTTTACAATAACCTTCCCTTCCTCTCCCCAAAACAGGCACCTTGTGAGGTAGGTGGGGCTGAGAGAGTTGTACTACCTCTTTATGTCACTGACATTGGGGATTATATGTACTTCAGAACAACTGATTCATGCAAATTTAGTTAAGCCTTTAACTTGCATTGGTTTGCTAGTCCATAGAGGATGAGGTGTGGGATTGCAGGACAACATGCAATATGTAGTTTGCATAACTAGATTTCTAATATCTGTATCAATTATTCCTTTTCTAGCATTGTTTTCCAATATTCCATTTGTTTTCTGCAACTGTTCTAGACTTCTTGCAAAAGGTATTGGAGTGTTTTGAATTAAGCATTTAAGATTATGATACTGAAAATTAATTAAATAGTTTCTCACAGTTATCCTTGAGACAGGTAAGTGGTGGCTACTCTCTATCTGAAAGCCTTTTAAAATCATGTGAGACGTTCTATACTTTGATATATTTTTTAGTAATGTTTCTTAAAACGTGATATCATATATTCATCTGTTACAGTGTCAACTTAAAGCTATCCAATTACAACAAGTAAAAGCAACTTTGTTTCTCACATTGTTTTCTATATTGACCATGTTTTGTTATTTTGTTTTTATTCAGGTGCCTGTTTTTTTAAACCATCCCACAAAGAGTTAATGCATGTCTCTAGAGGATAGCTGACCATTAGCAACTTTACAATACATATCTGGACGTCGCCAGCATTTCCCATGTTAACAGTTCTGAGCATGTTTTACTATATATATCTTCGGCGCCGAGCCAGGACAGCTACAAGAGGAGAACTGATGAACAATCGGAGAGCCATTGAATCAAGCCGGCCCTTACCTATCAATGTTGAATTAGTCCAATATGCCAAAGAAGTATTGGATTTTACTTCCCATTATGGTAGTGAAAACAGTATGTCATATACCATGTGGAATTTGGCTGGAGTTCCTAATGTGTACCCTAGCTCTGGTGATTTTACTCAAACTGCTGTATTTAGAACTTATGGAACTTGGTGGGAATTGTGTCCTAGTGCCCGATTACCTTTTACGAGAACACCACCTAACTTCCATAGTCAGGACTATGTAGAGCTTGCTTTTGAGGAACCAGTTTATCCTACAGCAGTACATGTTCTGGAAACTTACCACCCTGGTTCTGTCGTTAAGATTTTGGCATGTTCTGCAAGTCCTTATTCCCAAAATCTGCCTGCTGATATAAGGTAAAATTTCAGCTAATTTCTTTTGTTTTCCTTTCCATGGTATCTTAAACTGTTTTATAGAAGTTTATTTATTCAGATAGTTGCATGATTTTACCAAAATGCAGATATATATTTCCTCTTGGTTGTAAATATTTGGTCTAAATCGTAGTTTCTGCACTTCTGTAACATTCGTTAGTCAGAAGGTTTAATTCTACTTTGGAGTCCTGATTCATAGGTAAAAATATATGTCATAGTTTACGATTCAGATGTAATAATGAATTATGATATTCTGGGAAAGCAAAAGTCTAATTGCCAGGTAGCATGCAAAGGGAATGGGGACGGAGCAAGGACATAATCTCAAGAATCCTTCATAATGGAGTGGCTGTCTAAATCATGCCTGTATCTTACCCACTTAGAAACATAAGAATATAACAAGAGGCCTGCTGGATCAGACCAGTGTTTCGTCTAGTCTAATATCCTGTCTCACACAGTGGACAAATAGTTACTGTGGAGGGCCAACAACAAGGCACAGAAGCCAAGACCTTCCCATGATGTTGCCTCCTGGAACTGGTATTCAGAGGTACATTGCCTCTGGATGTGGAGGTTCCCTTTAGTCACCATGGCTAATAGGTACTGACAGGACTATCCTCCATGATTCTGTCTAATCCTTTTTTAAAAGCTGTCTATACCTGCATCCCTCACCACATCCTCTGGCAGCAAAGTCCAGTTTTTAATCACTCATTGGGTGTGTTCAGATGGGGCGTTTCAGCCGGTTCAGTTTATGCCGGCTGAAACGCGATCACACTTACCTCCTGTCTGCGGATCCCATCACTGTATGCCCGTTCACATGCAGTGGGCATCGGCGTCTTTGTTTTTTAAAAAAACTCAGTTTGCACATGTGCATAGGCAGCCATCCACAGAATGGCGAGCTTCACACATGTGCAAAACACTCTGTCTTCCTTTAAAGTTTAAAGGTAAAGGTTCCCTTGCTCCAAAGCCAGTCGAATCTGACTCTAGGGTTGCGGTGCTTGCCTGGATGTCTACCCCGTTGATCAAGAGGACCCTATCTCCCACATGCAGGGTGCCGTCCCGATGTGCCACACCCCCTTCTGCGATCCGCGAAATGAAAATCCCCGAGTCCCCCTGCCCGTACGGCGTGGAGCTCTTGCCCCTCTGCAATGCTGAAGCTGAGCCCCCGTTCGTTTCACATCAGGCAAGCCGAGAGACGCTCTTTGGGGGCCGCTCCTTCGGGCCGCTCCGGGAAGTGCAGGGCTCCCCCTCGCCGCTCCTGAGGGCTGTAGTCATCTTCGGGCCGCAGGGGAGTCACTGTGATGGCATTCTCGGGCTCCACCATTCGCTCCTGCAGTACAGTCATGGAGACGGTACTGCCCGAGCCATGCTCAGCAGACTGCAGCGAGACGCCGTTCGGGGGGGGGGGAGACAGGACACATCTCCAGGCTACCACCTGAAGGCCTCCACAGCACGCCTGCACCAGACTGGCCCCTGCGCTGGCACCCCGCAGGCGGGAAGCCAGAAAGGAGCACCTGCCCTCTGCGGGCCTCCAGCCCACACACCCCCACCGCTGGAGCAGGCCCCCCCATCCCTGGGCACGGCAGCCTCCTCAGAAGCAGGCGTCACGCCAGAGGGGTTGGGGGGGAACGCCCTCTAAGGTCCAGGGATGGGGGGGGGGCCTGGACACAGAGCAGCACAGAAGAGCACCGGAAGGGCAGGGCGAGAGCGGAGCCCTTCCCCTGGAGTTCGCTGCTTCTAGCCCAAGGAGGGCTTCAGAGAGCAGCACTTCCTGCCTGTCTGCCTGACTCGCTTGCCCTCCCGCAGCCCTGAGACTTGCCACTGCCACTCGCCCAGCCCAGAGGTGAGCCCCGCAGGGAGGGAGGGAGGGATCAAACGACACCCCCTTGATGGAGAGCTTTTTTAAAAAAACAAATGTCGGGGCGAAGCTTTGCCCAAGCGCATATAGCCAACCTAAAAAAAAAATGGGGAGCGAAAATCGGAAGATTCGGGCTTCCGAACGGAAGTGGCTAGACACCGGTGGAGAGCGATCAGACGGAGGGGTACAGCGATTGCAACCGTTGTACTCAGGATACCCCCACTTGGGAACCTAGTGGCAGAGTACAATGGTTTAAAGGGTTTTACAACTGTTAGGGACGGGAGGCAGATGTTCGCCATGTGAACGCCAGTAAGTACACCGGTTGGAACCGGCACCTATACCATTGTAAAGCCCCCGTCTGAACTGAGTGAAGAAGTATTTCCTTTTTTTCTGTCCTTAATTGGATGAGCTCAAATTCTAATATTTTGGGAGACAGAGAAAAAAAAATCTTCTTTATCTACTCTCTTTACCCCATGCATTATTTTATAAACCTCTATCATAACCCCCTTAGTCATACCTTCTCTAAACTGAAACATTCCAGACTCTTCAGCCTTTCCTAATAGGAAAGGTGTTCCAACCTCTTAATCATCCTGGTTTCCCTCCTCTGTACATTTTCTGGCACTGCAACATCATTTTTGAGATATGGTGACCAGAACAGTATTCCAAATGAGATTGCACCATAGATCTATACAGGGGCATTGAATTATTAGCTGTTTTGTTTTCAGTTGGTTTTCTAATAATCCCCAGCAAAGAGTCTAATTTTTTTTACTGTAGTGGCACACTGGGTTGACACTTTCATTGAGCTATCCACTATGATAGCTCAAGGTCTCTATCTCCTGTGCTATTGCCAAGGTCTCTTTCCCTCTCAGTCTCAGCAAGTTTAGACCCTATTAGCATATACTTACAGTCACAATTTTTTTATTCCACTATGCATCGCTTTATACTTACCTGAATTGTACTACATTTGCCATTATTGCCCACTCACCCAATTTGTGGAGAGCCTCCTGGAGCTGTTCTTGGTTTTCACCATCCAAAATAATTTTGTGTCATCTGCAAACTTGTCTACTGTGCTGCTCACCCCAGGTTCAGATCATTTATGAACAAATTAAATAGCACCTGATACTGATCCTTGTAGAACTTCACTGCTTATTTCACGCCATTAAGAGAACTGTCCATTTATTCCTACTCTCAGCTTTGTGGCTAATTAATTTTTTTGTGAGTATTTGTGTGTGTGTCTGTGTGTATGCGCGCATGCGCGCATGTTCCTGGGAGTCATGGTTGACTTCTGGCGATCCCTAGTGGGGTTTGGATGTTTCAGAGAGGTGGCTTGCTGCTTCTGCATCCCGGCCCTGGTCTTCCTTGGAGGTCTCCCTTCCAATTTCTTGCCAGGGTTGGCCCTGCTTAGCTTCCGAGATCTGATGAGACCAGCTTGCCTGGGCTATCCAGGTCAGAGCATGTCTAATGAATTTTAATGAATAAAACGACTTGTACTCTTTTCCCATAGCAGCTGAGCTTATTCAGGAGTCGTTGGTTTAGGTACCTAGTCAAAAGCCTTTTGAAAGGCCAAATATATAATGTCTAACAGGTCACCATGATCTACATGTTTGTTGACTTTCTCAAAGAACTGCAAAAGGTTGGTGAGGCAGGACTTCCCTTTGCAGGAGCCATGTTTGCTTCCCCTCAGCAAGTTTTGTTCCACTGTGTTCTTAACCATTCTATCTTTGGTTATTTATTTATTTATTTGTATTTTTACCCCGCCCTCCTCACGAGCGGGCTTAGGGTGGCTTACAAGAGGGCAACAATGCCCACATATAAAACAAGATTAAAACAACTTAAAACAAAAATAAAATCCTACTAAAAATAAAATCCTACAGTTACTACTAATTTGCCTGGGACATACTACTAATTTGCCTGGGAAATTGGGCTAATTTCCTGGTTGTCCTCTGGACCCCTTTCTAAAGATCGGTGTAAAATTTGCTATTCTCCAGTCTTCTGGTACAGTAGCTTATTTTAGTGACAAGTTACGTATACTGGTTAGTAGATCAAGAGTCTCACACTGGAATTCACTAAGAACCTTAGGATGTTTGCCATCAGGAACTGGAGTGTTCCTGGGTTTTTGATTTCCCCAGTAGGTCTAAAAGTTCATTTCTCATCACTTCAGTTTAACTCAGTTCTTTAGACACCATTTCTGAAAATAGTGGCTGTGGCGTGGGTATACGCCCCACACTTTCCACAGTGAACACAGATGCAAAGAGTTCATTTAGCTTCTCTGCCATCTCTCCATTTCCCTTTCGCAATCCTTTTATTCTTTGGTCATCCAGTGTTGAATTAGTTCAGTATGCCAAATTAGGCTTCAATGCTCAATTCTTTTTTTAAAAAAGTTATATTTATATTAAGAACATAAGAACATAAGAGATGCCAATGTTGGATGAGGCCAAAGGCCCATCCAGTCCAACACTCTGTGTCACACAGTGGCCAGAAATACCAGTGCCATCAGGAGGTCCAGCAGTGGGGCCAGGACATTAGAAGACCTCCCACTGTTGACCCCCCCCCAAGCACCAAGAAGACAGAGCATCACTTGCCCCAGAGCCCCTAGCTATACCTTGTGGCTAATAGCCACTGATGGACCTCTGCTCCATATGCTTATCTAATTCCCTTTTGAAGCTGTCCATGCCTGTAGCCGCCACCACTTCCTGTGGCAGTGAATTCCAAGTGTTAATCACTCTTTGGGTGAAGAAGTACTTCCTTTTATCCATTCTAATCCGACCGCTCTGCAGTTTCATGGAGTGCCCACGAGTTCTTGTATTGTGAGAAAGGGAGAAAAGTACCTCTTTCTTTACCTGCTCTTTCCCATGCATAATCTTATAAACCTCGATCATGTCACCCCTTAGTCGTCGTTTCTCCAAGCTAAAGAGCCCTAAGCGCTTTAACCTTTCCTCATAGGGAAAGTGTTCCAACCCTTTTATCATTCGAGTTGCCCTTTTCTGCACTTTTTCCAAAGCTATAATATCCTTTTTAAGGTGTGGTGCCCAGAACTGCACACAGTATTCCAAATGAGGTCGCACCATGGATTTATATAGGGGCATTATGATATTGGCTGATCTGTTTTCAATACCCTTCCTAATAATCCCCA